GTTTTATCATGCAGGCTTTCACAAGCAGCCTGCATCTCAGGAAATCCATCATGTCGTAGGAGAAGATGATACATGACGTTTTTAAATCTAACGCCAATCTACGATACTGAGAGGTGGCGACCTAGAAAGCTAAAAAGGAAAGCCGGCAACGGCTGAGAGAGGTCGAGGCCGAGCTGGAGAGATTTAAGAAGGAGCTGGTCAAGAAGAACGCGGAGGTTGAGTCGCTGAGGGAGCAATGCCTTAGTATTGCTGACGATGCCATCATTAGGGCTAGGGGAGAGCTGATGTTAGAGTACAAGGCCAAGAACACTACCCACTGGAACCTGGATGAGGACATCCAACTTTTGCGGGAGATGGAGGAGGAGGAGGATGTTGCTGGTCGCACAGATTATACGGAAGAGCAAGTCAATAGCCAGGTATTCGACCTTGCTAGTCAGTCAGGACGGTTGATTATAGAAGATACCGATGACCAGGCTGCAGGGATGACTACTGGAGCCAATGACAGGGTGACTGAGTCAGAGATGGGTGAGACGACTCGTATTGATGATGTGGGGCATGATGCCTCTTAGGCTTGTGTTTATTTTTTCCTCTTGTATTTTTTGGGGCTTGCGATGCCTTTTCATGGTGTATGTGCCTTTTTTATACTTGATACTTAGCCGTTTGGGGCTTTTTTGTTTATCTGATACTTAATCGTTTGGGGCTTTATGTTTCTGCTTGTGTTTCCATTTTACTGCTTTCTTCATGGATAGATGGATTGATTGTTTGTAGATGTGTAGGGGTTGAACCCTCTTTCCTAGGTAATCGCCTCATAGATGTATCATGTCTAAGCGAAACATTGTAGTCGAGACAGCGTGGTCTGATTTGAGTGAGTGGACCGATGCAACCATTTTGAGCCGACTGATTGTTTTTATGATGTGGACAAAGTCAAGTGGCTGAGTTGCTAGTGTTACTCGAAGGTGATTTTTATAGGAGCGTGTCGGTATAGGCCGACTAGAGATGTAAGCCATTGAGTTGTTTTTGGTCGGGCTGGGTTAACCGAAGGTGTAGATTTGCATGAATTGTTAAGTCGGTCTAGGCCGACTGAAGGTGTAAGTCAATGAATCGGTCTAAGTCGATTGAAGGTGTGAGTTTCCGTGAATTGCTAAGTCAACATTGGCCTATTGAAGGTGTAAGTCGATGAATTGGTTTGAGTCGATCGAAGGTGTGAGTTTGCATGAATTGTTAAGTCAGTCTTGGCCGACTGAAGGTGTCAGTTGATGAATCGATCTGAGCTGATCGAAGGTGTGAGTTTGCGTGAATTGTTAAGTCGGTTTAGGCCGACTGAAGGTGTAATTTTGCTAATCATAATTTATTGGTTCAGGCTGTGAGGCCGACTGAAGGTGATTTAGTCGGTAGTGTGGCCGAATCGTTGTAAACTGAAGGTGAATGTCACTATATCACTGAATAGTTCTTTTATTGAATTCAGGTCACGAGGCCAACTGAATGTGAAGGGGGTGGACAGGCCCATTCATCCTTTTTAAAACAAAAACAAGAATAAAGAATTGACGTTAAGACAAATCTGACTAAAAATAGTAGTGTTTGAGATGAATTGCATTCCAACTATTGCTGATGTCCTCGCTCTTAGGAGTTTGAAGTTTATAGGCTCCCTTCCCTACTTTCTTGGCGATCTTGTAGGGTCCCTCCCAGGTAAGGCCAAGCTTGCCAGAGTTGATCTCCTTAGTGTTTTGAAAGACTTTGCGGAGAACCCAGTCGCCTTGTTTGAAAGTTCTTACTCTGACATTATAGTTGTAGTGTCGAGCGGCCTACTGCTAGTAGATAGCATTGCGAATGTTTGCTCGCTCGCATAGTTCGTCGACTGTGTCCAAGTTGTGACAAAGGTTCGGGCTGTTGGCTTTTTCATCTAACTATTGGAGTCTGGTTGAGGGGATCGATACTTCAAATGGGATGATTGCCTCAGATCCATATGTAAGGAAGAAAGGGGTTTTGCCAATGGACGAGCGGGTTGTTGTTCAATAGGACTAGGGACCCATGGTAGTTCGTCTGCCCATGCGCCCTTAGCTTTCTAGAGGCGTTTCTTTAAAGTCTGTAGGATTGTTTTATTTGATGATTCAGTCTGATTGTTTGATTGGGGGTTACAAGGGGTAGAGAAGCTGAGTTTGATCCCTCACATGTCACAGAAGTCTCTGAAGCCTGAGTTGATGAATTGGGATCCATTATCGATGACTATTTCCTTCGATATTCCAAATCTGCAGATGACATGTTTCTAGATGAAGGCTTTTACCTCTCGGTCTCTAACTTGGGCGAGTGCTTCGGCTTCGATCCACTTAGTAAAATAGTCGGTGACAGCGAACATGAAGACTTGTTACCCGGGTGTGATCGAGAATTTTCCAACTATGTTCATCCCTCACTTCATGAATGGCCAAGGTATGGTGTGGAGTGGAGTCACTCATGTGGGAGGTGTGAGACATGGACAAACCTTTGACAACTATCGCATTTCTTCACATAGGATGATGAGTCAGTGCGTATAGTAGGCCAATAGTAACCAACGGTGATCACCTGGTGGGCAAGGCTACGTCCTTTTGCATGGTTCCCGCATTCGCCTTCATGGAGTTTGGCGAGAACATACTTGGCTTCCTTTGGGCTTATGCATTTGAGGTAGGGGGCTAGAGAATGACTTCCTAAGGAGTTGGTCCTCATATATGGTGAATCTTGCAGCTTTTGCTCTCAGGCGGCGTACTTCATTCTTGTCAACTGGAAACTCATCATATTCCAAGTATCTAATTATTGGGGTCATCCAGGAATCGACTGGATTGACATCCATTACTTCTTTAGGCTCTTTCGAGTTGGACAACTTGCTTGTTTGGTGTTCCTTCTGGTCGTTGGCCATTAGAGGAACAGTAGTGGGATGGATAACTGGGAGGAACCTTAAAGGGCTGAGATGAGGTTAACAAGGGCATCAACATAGGTGTTCTCTGCTCTTAGGACTTGGGTGACAGAGAATTTTTCGAAGGCAGACTATATTTCTTTGACCAAATTCAAGTAGGTTGTCATCTTTGAGTCTCGGACTTGGTAAGTGCCTTATAGCTGGTTGACTACGAGTTGAGAATCAGACTTTACCTCCAGCTTTCTTACTCCAATCTCCTTGGCTAGAGAGAGTCCATCGATAAAGGCTTTGTATTCGGCTTTGTTGTTTATGCACTTAAACCCACACCATATGGCCCGCTGGATGATATCCCCTTCTCGTGTAATAAGTACAATGTCGAGCTTGCATCCATTCACATTGCTTGAGCCGTCCACTAAGAGGGTCCACTTCGAAGACGACCAGCTATTCATGCACAATAACTATTTTTTCGCTTGGACGATAGTATTAGGAGTGAAATCAGTAATGAAGTCTACCAACGCTTGGGATTTGATGGCGGTGCGTGGTTGGAAAGATATATCAAACTCACTAAGCTCTACTGTCCATTGGGTGAGCCGACCTAATAACTCAGGCTTATGAAGTATCTTATTGAGTAGGAAAGAGGTGAGGACGACTATGGAGTGACATTAAAAATATGGTCTGAGCTTCCTGGATGCATGGACGAGGACGAGTGCCAACTTCTCCAACTGGCTATATCGTGTCTCGGCATCAAGGAGTGATTTACTCACATCGTGGACTAACACTGTTGAGATGATTGTCTCTAAGACCGCCAAATAGGGGTAGAGCTTTTCCCCAACCACGGGTTTGGAAAGAAATGGGGGAGAGGTTAAGTACCTCTTTAGCTGCTGTAGGGCCTCCTCGCAGGTGGGGGTCTACTCAAATTTCTTGGATTTCTTAAGTGTGGCGAAGAAGAGGTGGCACTTGTCAGCGGATCTGGAGATGAAACAGCTTAAGGCAGCTACTCGCCCCGCAAGGTGCTGGATGTCTTTGATGCAAGATGGTGATGATATGTTGAGGATTGTCTGGATTTGGTCAAGGTTGGCTTCTATCTCGTATTGAGTCACCATGTATCCCAAGAATTTTCCTGACGAGACCCCGAACGAACATTTGACTGTGTTTAGCTTCATATTGTATTTCTTTAAGACAGCGAATGCCTGACTAAGATGGTCGAGGTACTGCTCGGTCATAATGGACTTGACGAGCATGTCGTCAATATATATTTCCATGGTGTCTCCAAGGTGTTCGGCAAACATTCTGTTGACTAGCCGCTGGTATATGGCCTCGGCGTTCTTAAGACCAACAGGCATTACTTTGTAGCAATAGGTTCCCCTCTTTGTGATGAAAGTTGTCTTTTCCTTATCGTCCGGGTGCATCAAAATCTGGTTGTACCCTAAGAAGGCATCCATAAAACTTAGGAGTTCGTGACCTGCTGTCGCATCGACCATCATGTCGATATGTGAGAGTGGGAAGGAGTCCTTGGGGCATGCCTTGTTCAAGTCTATGAAGTCTATGTAGACCCTCAATTTTTCGTTATTTTTCTTCACAACCACCACGTTTTCTAGCCAGTCAAGATAATGAATTCTCTGATCAATGCGTTACTCAACAACTTGTCAATTTCCTCATTGATGACCCGATTGTGTTCTAGAGCGAACTTCATTCGCCTCTGCTTCACTGGAAGGTGATCCAGATCTACGTGAAGGTGGTGGACGATTGCCTCTAGGCTGATGCCCGTCATGTCTGTGTGGGACCAGACAAAGGAATCCTGATTTTTCTTGAGGAAGTCTATGAGTCGTTCTGTTATCTTGGGCTTGAGGCGAGAGCCTATCTAGGTCTTTCGGTCGGGATAGTCCAAATGTATCTGTACTTCATCGAACTTTTCTATGGATGGTTGATCTGGCTCGGTCAGAAGGGTTGGAAGGGCTTGTAGTTGTTATGAAGCATGACCTTTGCCTTTGAAGGCGTTCTTGTAGTAGTCTCTGGAGGCCTTAGGATCCTTGATTTCTCTTACTCCCCACTTTGTTGGAAACCTGATAGCTTGATGGAAGATGGATGGGACAGCTCGCATGTCATGGATCCAAGGTCAACCCAATATGACGTACGGTGAAGGGCAATCAAGTATTAGGAAACTGGTTTGCTTGTTGATTCCATTGGCGTAGACAGGTAAGACGATTTCACCAATGGTGTACTTCTGCTTAGAACTGAACTCGACTAGGATGGTTGGCCGTCTATTAATGTTTGATTCATCTAGTCTTATGGCCTTCACTACTTCAAGGAAGAGGATGTTTGCCGATGACCTCCTATCTACGAATACTCTCTTGACCAGGATGTTGGTGATTTGGAGGGAGATGACCAGAGCATCGTGATGAGGGATGACTAAGGTAATTGACTCGTCATCTTCAAACTGAATGATTTGGTTGGTATGCGTCCAAGGGGATGAATGAATGGACCGGACTTCTAGGTGATTGTTGGCTCGGGCATAGCATTTGGCTGAGGAATAACTCACCCTACTAATTTTTGACCCTCCCGAGATAATGAAGCAAAACCCCTTTGGTGTCGGTTCCCATGGAGCGGGAGATGTTTCTTTCGAGTTTTTTTGGCCGACTATATTCTTCCTTTTATCGATCAACAGGTCCTGGAGATGTCTCCTCTTCAATAGTACTGCAACTTCCAATCTTAGGGTGATGCAATCAACGGTATTATGACCATGGTCGTCGTGAAATTCACACCACTTGGTCATGTCCCTCTTCACGTCGGGATTGAGCTTGGTTAGCCACTTCACGGTAGGTCCTGTTCCTTTCATGATTGCCACGACCTGAGCTGGTTCGACGTTAAGGTTGTACTCTGGAATCTTGAATTGGTTTGATCTGAATGACCTATTTTCAGCTCTGGTCGACTGGCGATCATATGGTTTTTTTATTCTGCTTGGATTGCGGGGAAAGGGTTTATAATAGGGCTTAAACGATCTGGACTCTGGCCTCCTTTCATTCCGCCTTTGGTGATAGTCATCATATCTGGTATGCCTCATTCGGTTCGCCTCATCTTCCTCCTATCTGATTTGGATCACTGCTCTGGCTAGGGCATCTTCCATTGTGGTGCAGCCAAGTTTTGTCAAGTCTTTGTATAGTTCTCCATCTAAGAGGAGACCTTTTCTGAAAGCATGTACCACTATCTCTGGATTACAAGATGTGATGAATATTTTTTCTTTATTGAATCGGCTGACATACTTTCTCAGTGGCTCCCCCCTTTTCTAGTAGACTTTGTATCGGTTGGCTGACAACTTCTTAAGTTTCTTGCTGTTGGCAAATTGTTCAACGAAGGTGTCGGTGAGTTGGGCAAATAAGCTAATTGAGTTGTTTGGAAGGTTAGTGTACCATTGAAGGGCTGGTCCAAAGAGCCTGGAGTCGAAGCTCTTACACATGCAGGCTTTCTTCAATGTTCGGGGTATCGAGGCGGCGAACATCCGCTGCTTGTATGAGGCTATGTGGTCATCCGGCTTGGTTGTACCATCGTAAGGCTTCATGCTGGGGATGGTGAATTTGTGTAGCATCTCAGCTAATGCGATTGCATCCACAAAGGGTGAATCGGCATAGCTGTGAGGTTTGTTCTTTTTGGTTGGGATTGACACTCCAGGTATACGCCTTTTCATTGCCTCTATATCGGCCAATCTTTTGGCCAATATTTGCTCCATGGGTGAGGCGGAGGCCACTAGGTCGGCCTGGTTGGCTTGATTTGTCATATGACTCGCACTCGGTATGTTTCATTGGGTCAAGTCACGTGGGGTAGTTTGGCGAACCATTTCATCGTGTGCCGTTTGGTAATTCGGATCTCCATTCATTCCCTCGGGTAAGGTGGTTCCCACTGTGACTGATCGGGTGTTTCGACCTACATGGATGGTGAGAGGGGTTATTTGGGAGTCATTTGGTCCTTGGGGATGGATTGACTCAAGCGAGGTGGATTAAAGGTAATGGAGCCTACTCAACCTGCGAGGGTGAGTCGAGTCGAGTCGAGCCGAGTGGGGTTTGGGTAGGAATGGTTAATTGGAGATGAGACGGGATGGCAAGAATAGGTGGCTCTTGTTGTGATAGGCTTTCTGTTACTTGGATGTCTTGATCTCGTGCCTGAAGTGGGTCGACGGAGAGTGGCTCTATTGATAGTCCTTGCTCAATTGGATTCTGGGCTTAATCGTCCACTAGCGATGAATAAAGTTGTCGCGATCTTGTATCCGAGGCAGCCAATCTGTGATCTGGAGTCTAGAGAGGCTGCATGGACGGAATTGATGCATGAAAACGATTGGGTTGTACCTGACAAGGCTGAAGCTCAAGGTCATAAAATTGACTCACCTTTTCTTTCAAAGACTGGTTTTCTGCCCGGATGGAGGTGTTTTTGGTTTCGAGTGTTGCCACCTTGTCTGATTGTTGTTGCATAAGAGTAGTCAGAGCTTCGAGTTTGGCCTCGAGACTAGGATTGGTGTTATCTGAATTTTCAGCCATAGAAAGTTTCCTTACGAAACAGGGTTTGAAAGACGAATGATTGCCAGAGGCCCCACGGTGGGCGCCAAACTGTAGATGCAAAAAATCTACCTTCATGAAAATAGGGTCTGATCCCGTAAGGTTGAGGCCACCAGCAATCCGTTATACCTACACACGCGAGGAAACAAACATGAAGCGAACGGAAAACACCAGGGTGATGTTTGCTGTAGGCACTCCGACGCAATTCAACGAGGCTGAATGAGGCTAATTTAGTGAGGGTTAGGGAAAGAGAAGGTTACTAGGAGTCTAGTCGAAGACTACAACTACAACAGTGATATGAGGTTCCCAAGAGTGAGAACTATGGGTTTCAAAGGTGTAATGTGTCCCCTTGTGAGAGGGTTGACCTCTGTTTAAATAGCAACTGTAGGATCTTCGAGTCCTAGTAGGACTATGAGTCCTTTGAAGTTGAGGTTTTGTGAAAAAAGAGAATCTTTGACTCCCTTACCTTAGTGGGAAAGAGAGTCCCAGTGGATCTAAGTCATGAATCTTAGATGAATTATGATAGTAATGGACCTTTTCGATAGAGTTCAAATAGTGTCGGAGTAAGTAGGCAACCCTGGGCTCCAAATAGATCATAAGTTCAGTAGGTGGTCTAGGATCAAAGGGCCTGGATCCAGACAAGCTGGTGGTGAGGCCTAAACGAATCAGGTTTTTGCTGATTGGGCCCAAGTAGTGAGCAATAAGGTAGGTGTACCGAGCGGACTTGATATACAGACTCTGTTGCAAGCCCACTTGGAATTGGGTCATGGCTCCGAACTTTGTTGAAGGTGTCTTAGTCTTTGAGCCTGTTTGGGCCGAGGACATTTTTTTGCCCTAACATAAATCAACAAAAAAATGAACTCATTCAAGTAATCAACATAATTAAAAAAAA